GGAATTGTTTCTAAAAAAATGCGGCAACCAATCCTCGGTTACATTCCGGGAAAGATCGCCGCATTATAATTTCTTCTGTTTATCTTTTAACGTATTATTAGCAGATCTTAATAAAGAGTAAATCAATGCTACTTATTTATTCCGCTACGTTCTCCACACTCGGATCAGGTGTATAGTTACTTTCATAATCTGTATACATGACTTCCGTTACCATTCCCATGGAAGCATGATGCAAGTCATGGCAATGGAACATCCAATTTCCAGGGTTATCGGCTTCAAAAGCAACAACATAAGTTTCCCCTGGTTTAACATTTAGTGTATCTTTTATGATCGTTGACCCCTGATAGGATTGACCATTTTTACTTAGCACTTGGAAAAACTGTCCATGGAGATGCATAGGATGGTCATCCGTTTTGGACTGATTCACAAAAGTAACTTTGACCTTGTCACCTTTCTGGACTTTTATGACATCTGTATCCGGAAGCTCCTTTCCGTTAGTCGTGTACACCATTTTCTCCATCTTTCATTTCCGTATTTAAATTCATTGTCACGTTTTGATCAAATATCTCATTCAACGAAAATAATGGATCTGACATGTTACCATACTTTTCGAAGTCAAACACAGGAAGCGTAGCTGATATTAGGATTGTCATTTTGAACTTTTGAACCTTCGTATTGGATAACGGCTTTCATATTTTGTTTCGGCGATTCAATTCCATGTTCTTCAAGTAGCCAGGAGCCTGGATTATCAGCTGTAAATTCAATATCATAACGTTCTCCAGGAGCTATAGAAAGTAATTGATCTTTTATCATCTCGGGTTCATTTAGGGGCTGTCCATCCGACGCTATTACTTTAAAATTGTGGCCATGTAAGTGCATTTGATGACTGATGTATCCTGCATTAATTAAGCGAATTCTAACTTTATCGCCCTCTTTAACCATGAGTTTATCAATGGCAGTACCTGATTTCCCGTTTATCTAGCCATGGGTCATACATGCTCATATCATGTCCGCCCATACCCGTAGTGTTCTCGTCCATGTTCATATCCGATCCGGACATATTCATTTCATTATGATTCCATCTCTTTCATACCCATATTGTCGGATCACTCGTATTCATGTCGCTGGAACTCATCCATTCGTATCTAATATTTGAGGTCTAGTCCCGGTCATAGTCATTTTTCAGTTCCTAACAAGGGAAGGGAACCGTACTTAAAGCCTATTATCCACTTGGTTTATACTGTTCTTGGGTGAGAATGTATACTAAATTTTTGGCTTTTATTTTCTTTGTACCTGGTACATTATGCTTTTGCTAACGTATCCGTAATATGTTCTACCTGGTTCAACGGCATCTCTTGACGCGCCACGATTGCCATCCTTTTTATTCCTGGAACGGGTTTATCCTTGTTACTAATGAATGGAGACAGGCTGATTCACTTCTATTTTTTATAGATTGTTTTTGATTTTGTCTCAGGCCTTTACACGGTTTGAGGTCGGGGACAGTGTTGAAAGAGATCCAAACAGTTGTAATATCTTACCTTTGAACTTCCATCTTGACCTTGTTCGGTAGATCGTAAATTCTTTCACCATTTACCACTGGAGTACTAGATGAGAATTTCACAGTTACTGGACCTGCCGAATTAGGATTATATCGTTTTGGAATGATTCCATTCCTTCCATTAAGCGTTATGTTTACTAATCGCATTAGTACATCCCGTAGCGAGAATAGCTAGGAACCAATTACGATAACCTCTTTAAAAACATCAAATTTCATATTCTTTCCTCCACCGTTTTGTATTTGATTGGTAATAACGATAATAGTATAGAAAATATATGTAGAAATAATGTAGATGAATTTCATTTTGTATAGTATAGGGGGGCTATAGTATAATATAAGATAAAATAATGAGGAGTGATCGGAAAATGGGAGACCTAATTCAAGAGCATGAGTCTATGCTACAGGAAGAACACAGGAGCCATCATTCTGAGAAAACAAAGGAATAATTTAATTAACCGACTTAACAGGGTTGAAGGACAAGTTAGAGGGCTAAAGGATTAATCGAAAAAGATACCTTATTGTGATAATGTGCTGAATCAGATCTCTTCAGTCCAATCGGCTTTGAACGGTGTTGGAAAACTTTTGTTAGAGCATCACATGAAAAGCTGTGTAATTGAACGAATTCAGGAAGGTGAAAACGAAGTTATAGATGGTGTTAGTGACCATAAATAAATTAATCAAATAGTGCTGTAAACAAAAGAGGGTTTGCAAAAACTCTTTTTTTGTTTACAGCTAAATACTTTGACAAATATAGTGAGGGGGGGTATGGTATTAATGAAGGAGGTGATGTACATTAAAAGTCATTCATTTGGACAATATAGGATGAAGTTAATGGTCCAATGACAAACAATCAGTGAGGCCTAATGCTCCTATCCGCTGCAGGTGCACTTAATGGAGTCAACAAAGCATATTGAAGTAGTGAATGAATTAATCAAAAGAGTTCATGCCTCAATGAAATAACATATATTTAAACTCAATTAAAGGGGAGTATGAAAAATGGAAAATGTTACACTAAAAGTAAAAGGTATGTCATGTGGGCATTGTGTAAATTCAATTGAAGGTGCCTTAAATCAAATAGGCGTAGAAGGAAAAGTAATTCTCGCGGAAGGTAAGGTTGAAGTTAAATTTGACGAAACCAAACTAGAGTTTTCGGATATTAAAGAAGCAATTGAAAATCAAGGCTACGACATAGTCGAATAACATGATCTTCTTGAATCATTACTTCAAGTTAGAAGAAGGTGAAGCGTATGCATGTCGAGGTATTTACAACGCCAACTTGTGAAGATTGCAAAAATTTCAAAAAATTCTTAAATGATCATCAAATACCGTATACAGAGTTTAGTATAGCTGATCATCCAGAAAATGCTGTCCTTCTGCGCGAACGAACAGGTAAAAATTTGGTCCCTACAATTTTCATTGAAGGTAAAGTTTATTTCGGATTTGTCTTCAGTCGTCAAGAAATTGAAAAAACACTTCTTGGATAAGAACCTAAATGATATTTCGGTTTCACTCCATCGATTGTGAAATGTGCACAGAATTATCCTCTTTCACCTCTAGAGTAGTAGATTATCTTCTGAAATGCCGCCATGAATAGAAATTTCTATATAGGGTTGAAATATAGAATAAGGGACTACCCTACTACTTTAGATACGAGAGGAGAATTATAATGTCACATCAAAGTAGTAGGGTAGTCCCTTATTCTATATTTTTTACCCCATAGAAATTTCTATTCATGGCGGCTCAGAAGATAATCTACTACTCTAGAGTGTGAAGGATAATTCTGTGCACATTTCCCAATCGATGGAAGTGAACCGAAATATTATTTAGGGTTCTTATCCAAAAGTGTTTTTCAATTTCTTGACGATTGAAGACAAATCCGAAGTAAACTTACCTTCAATGAAAGGGACCAATTTTTACCTGTTCGTTCCCGCTGAAGGACAGCATTTTTTCTGAGATGATCAGCTATACTAGCTCTGTATACGGTATTTGATGATCATTCCCGCCCCCCTGAAATTTTGCAATCTTCACAAGTTGGCGTTGTAAATCCTCGACATACATACGCTTCACCTTCTTCTAACTTGAAATATGATTCAAAGATCATGTTATTCGACTATGTCGTAGCTTGATTTTCAATTGGCTTCTTCCAATATCCAAAAAACTCTCGTTTGGTTTCGTCAAATTGCTTCAACCTTACCTTCCTGCGAAGTACTTCCTTACCGCCTATTTGATTTAAGAGCTGCCTTCAATTGAATTTACAATGCCCACATGACATACCTTTTACTTTTAGTGTAACATTTTCCATTTTCATTCTCCCCTTTAATTGAGTTTAAATATGTTATTTCATTGAGGCATGAACTCTTTTGATTAATTCATTCACTACTTCCAATAACTTTTGTTGACTCCATTAAGTGCACCTGCCGGATAGGAGCATTAGGCGCAATGTTGTTTTGTCATTGGACCATTAACTTCATCCTATATTGTCCAAATGAATGACTTTTAATGTACATCACACTCCTTCATTAACCATACCCCCCTCACTATATTTATCAAGTATTTAGCTGTAAGTAAAAGAGTTTTTGCAAATATCCTCTTTTGTTTACAGCTGCTATTTGATTAATTTTGTTATGGTCACTAACAATTCATCTATAACTTCGTTTTCACCTTCCTGAATTCGTTCAATTCCACAGCTTTTCATGTGATCTCACAACAAAAGTTTTCCAACACCGTTCCAAAGCCGCGTGGACTGAAGTCTGATTCAGCACATTATCACAATAGGGTATCTTTTCGATTGTCCTTTTTTAGCCCTCTAACTTGTCCTTCAATTCCTTATTAGAAGTCAGTTAATTAAATTATTCTTTGTTTTCTCATAATGATGGCTCCTTTTTTTTTTTTGCATGACTCATGCTCTTGAATTGGATCTCCCATTTTCCGATCCTCCTCATTATTTTATCTTATATTATTTATAGCCCCCTATACTATACAAAATGAGAAATTCATCTACATTATTTCTACATATATTTCTATACTATTATCGTTATTCGCAATCCAATACAAAACGGTGGAGAAGAATGTAAGTGTTTTTAAAGAGGTTTATCGTAATTGGTTCTTTAGCTATTCTCGCTACGGGATGTACTAATGCGATTAAAAATAATGCAATGGAAGGAATGGATCATTCAAACACGAATAATCCTACTTCGGCTGGTTCCAGTCCTGTGAAATTCCCATCTACGACCCTCAGTGGTAGTAGCGAGAATTTACGATCACCGCACAAGAGCAATCTTGAAGTTTCAAAGGTAAGATATTACCTGTTTGGACTTTCAACAATTCTGTCCCCGGACCTCAAATCCGTGTAAAGGTTGGAGACAACGTAAAAATCAATCTAAAAAATGAGTTGAATCAGCCTGTCTCCATTCATTGGCACGGCTAACCCGTTCCGAATAACATGGATGGCATTCCTGGCGTTACACAAGATGCCGTTGAACCAGGTAAAACATTTACGTATACGTTCAAAGCTAATGTACCAGGTACCTATTGGTATCACATTCTCATCCAAGACAGTGTAAACCAAGTGGATAAAGTTTGTACGGTTCCTTTTTTGTTGAGAACTGAAAAATGACTATGACCGGGACTATACTCTCATGTTAGATGAATGGATGAGTTCCAGCGACATGAATACGAGTGATTCCGACAATATGGGTATGAAAGAGATGAATCATAATGAAATGAATATGTCCGGATCGGATATGAACATGGACGAGAACACTACGGGTATGGGCGGACATGATATGAGCATGTATGACTATGCACGATAAACCCGAAATCAGGTACTGCAAAATTTGATAAACTCATGAAGTTTAAAAGAGAGGGGGCCGATAAAAGTTAGGGAGTCGCTTAATTAATGCAGGATACATCAGTCATCAAATGCACTTACATTGACACAATTTTAAAGTAATAACGTCGGATGGACAGCCCCTAAATGAACGAGATGATAAAGATCAATTACTTTCTATAGCTCCTGGAGAACGTTATGATATTGAATTTACGGCCCTAATCCAGGCTCCTGGCTGCTTGAAGAACATGGAGATTGAATCATGAAAACAAAATATAAACCCGTTATCAATAGAAGGTTCAAGTTCAACTCGCAATTCAATACTTCAGCTACGCTTCCTGTGTTTGGCGAAAGTTTGGTAACATGTCAGATCCATTATTTTCGTTGAATGAAGTATTTGATCAAAACGTGACAATGAATTTAAATACGGAAATGAAAGATGGAGAAATGGTGTACACCATTAACGGAAAGGTATTTCCGGATACAGATGTCATAAAAGTCAGAGAAAGGTGACAAGGTCAAAGTTACTTTTGTGAATCGAAACAACGGATGACCATCCTATGCATCTCCATGGACAGTTTTCCAAGTGCTAAGTAAAAATGGTCAATCCTATCGAGGGTCAACGATCATAAAAGATACACTAAATGTTAAACCACGGAAACTTATGTTGTTGCTTTTGAAGCCGATAACCCTGGAAGTGGATGTTCCATTGCCATGACTTGCATCATGCTTCCGCGGGAATGCTCCGGGAAGTCATGTATACAGATTATGAAAGTAACTATACACCTGATCCGGTGGAGAACGTAGCGGAATAAATAAGCATTGATTTACTCTTTATTAAGATCTGCTAATAATACGTTAAAAAGATAAGCAGAAGAGGTATAATGCGGCGATCTTTCCCGGAATGTAACCAAGGATTGGTTGCCCGCATTTTTAAACACCCCTTAATTGTAAAAAAGCGATACTGTTGCGCTTAAATGCATATCATTCTCTTCTATTAGCTAACGCGCAAAATCCCCAGGTATAGAACGCTCATTAAAATGAACTCTAATCCGAGGGGACGATATTTCAGAACTATATTGGCGACGTTACTGACTTTTTTATTACAATATCATTCTATTGGAAGATGGACCTGAAAAGGAATACGCACGATCTTCAATATATTTGATGCCATAAGATAAATACACGGAATGGTCCACAATTTACGGCTTGCATCCAATTCCTTTCCTTATGGATCTCAAGTAACTGCAATACATACGTTTTATTGATCCATTGATCCCGTCTGTGTCATAATCAGATTCCTAGCCCCATGAATACCATTCACTTTTTAACCATACTCTCGTTGGGACAGGAAAACCTAATTTTTTTCGTTGCTGTACATCAGGTGGAACCACATCTTTCATAGCATCACGGAGTAATAATTTAGTTGCTGTGGGTGTAACTTTATACTTAGTAGGGATGGTAGCAGCTAATTCAAATACTTTGGTATCTACAAAGGGAACGCGAAGTTCCAAGGAATTTGCCATCGACATTTTGTCTGCTTTCATTAGGATATTCCCACGTAGCCACGTATGAATATCAATATACTGCATCTGTGTGACTTCATCATATAACTTCGCTTGTTCATAAAGTGGCTTAGTCACCTGCTGGGTTGGTTTACATACTCCCTGCTCCGATAACCATGGTGCTAATACCTTACTTTTTTTCATGATCCATAAAAATCTTCGCATTTCCAAAGTAACGTTCTTGCAGAATAAGACTCCCTCTTTCCAAGAATCCTTTGCCTTTCATGCCGGTAGGCAGTAATCGTCCAAGATGTCCTGCAAGACTTCTCCATGGACCTGGAAGACCCTGAAACATGCGGAGAGCATAGGGTTCCCGATAAATGTTGTAGCCACCAAAAAATTCATCTGCACCTTCACCTGAAAATGCCATCTTAACATGCTGACTAGCCAACTTCGATACAAAGTAGAGACCCACGGCTGATGGGTCTGCTACTGGCTCATCCATATGCCATATTAGAGAAGGTAGTATATCTATATAGTCGCGGGCATTAATCCGAATTTCATGATGCTCAGTCCCTAAATAGGCTGCTGTCTTCCTAGCATCATCCAATTCACTATAGCCCGGCATATCAAATCCAACGCTGAATGTTTGGGTTGGCTCCAAGCGATGAAGTAAAACCAACTAAACTCTTGAATCAATACCACCCGATAGAATGCTCCCCTAGGGACATCTGAGTTCTTATGAATACGAACAGATTCCGTTATTACTGATCGTGTTTCCTCTACTAAATCGGAATACGACCTACTTTCATGGGGCTCAAACTTCACTTCGTAATACGGTCTGATGGTCATTCCATTATTCTGTACAATCAAATAATGGCCTGCTTTCAGTTTATGGATCTCTTTGAACATCGTTAGAGGTTCAGGTACATATTGAAATGTGAGATACTGATAAAGAGCATTTTCATCCACTTCCCTATCAATCCTACCTGAAGCCAGCAACGTTTTAATTTCAGAGCCAATCAGTAATCGGAGGCGGTCTCACTGTAATAAACAGGCTTGATTCCGAAATGATCCCGTGCCGCAAATAAAAGATCACTCCTTTGATCCCATATGGTGAACCCAAACATGCCTCGTAAATAGTTGACACATTTAATTCCAACGTCCTCATAAAGCCTCAGTAATACTTCGGTATCGGAATCTGTATAAAATGTATACCCCTTCTGACTCAACCAATCCCTCAACTCTTTATAATTATAAATCTCTCCATTGAATACCAACCAAATATCTTTGTTCTCATTGGTCATGGGCTGTGCCCCGTGCTCAATATCCAGTATACTTAGCTCCTAAAACCCAGACCGATATGATCATGGATATATATCCCCTTCATCATCTGGGCCACGATGAGCTATGGAGTCCGTCATCTGTTGCAGAATGTTTGCATCTACTGGCACATGATATTTGTTATATAAACTTACAAATCCACACATTGGGCTAATCTCCTCTAATCGATATAAGATTAGTTTAGCCTTCATGTATGTGGAATCTGTGTAAGAATACTGTCTATATCATAAATCACGTTCTTTTAAGTTATCTATATATTTACTGGATTAGTTCATTGGAGTGATTCTATATGTTCGAGGCAAGTTTCCAACGAAATGGACAAACCCGTTTCCTCACGGGCTTGTCCATATTTTTAATGACTGTCGTCAATCATTTTAAGATAGTTCTGCTCGCTAACCACTCGGCGAGCTGTAACATATCTGGATTTATAATAACTTTCAGATAAGCTACTAATTCGAACACCTTTACTGCTTGATGAATGTGCAAATTGATTGTTACCTACATAAATGCCCGCATGGGAAATGCTGCGACCATTTGTATTGAAGAAAACGAGATCTCCTGGGCGTAGTTCTTCTTTTTCTACAAACGATCCCTTTGTTGCTTGTATACTAGAGTGTGCAAGTGAAATCTAGTTTAAATGCATTAAAAACATAAAGGATAAAACCGGAACAATCAAAACCTGATGTTGTGGTCCCACCATAAAGGTAGGGCGTTCCAACCACTTCTTTTATTTCTTCAGTTAGTTTTGCCTGACTAGCAAATGCTCCCGTTGCTGTGGAGGTAAATAAAACTGCTGCTCCAAGCACCGACAAAATGACCTTTTTCAAACTTTTGTTCCTCCCTTAGATTTCTACGGAGCCAGCTTAAGGATTCGGTTAAAGGCCCCTCATATTCTTATCTTGCAAGAATAATTCACCCAACAAATGGTTCCCCCGTTTTCAATACGAAATTCGGCAAAAATAGTTAAATGTTTGTAACCTATAGAGTATTATATTGTTATAATGTGTGGATTTTATGGGGAATTCTCATATATCTTACTCTTACAAAAAATGAAAAGACTGTCCCTCTGTTAAATTCAGGGAACGATCGCTTCCTAGGACAAATTCTTTTTTTTACCAGCTTCTACTTATAAGCTCAAGGCTCTTCTACACTATACAACCACTTATATCCTATGCCCCAAATTGTTTGAATGGGATTCTGTTCTAATCCAGCCAACTGTAACTTCTCGCGGATATTTTTGACGTGGGTGTCCACGACTCGGTTATCCCCAAAAAAGTCACTTCCCCACAGACGTTCAATGATTTCATCTCTAGAGAAAACTCTTTGTGGGTGCCTCAGCCAACATAAGCAAGATATCAAGTTCCTTTTGGGTTAAATCCAGATTTGTGTCTAATACCAAAACTTGTCTTCGATCTGGATAAATAATCATGTCTGAATACACGATTTTTCTACCGACTTCTTTTAGGCTCGAAGACTGTGAAGATCGTCGAATAAGTGCAAACAGGCGAGCGATGAGTTCATCTGAATTTACAGGTTTCACCATATAATCATCAGCACCCACTCCTAAGCCATGCACCTTATCCTTCACATCCCCTCGAGCAGTAAGCATTAATATAGGAGTTTCACTAAATGCTCTGATTTTTTTACAAAGATGCCAACCATCCATATCCGGCATCATAACGTCTAATAAAATGACATGATACGAATTTTTCTGAAGATAGGACAGTCCTTCGGTTCCATTATGAGCTTCCGTAATATCAAAACCTTCTTTAGTTAAATAAATACGCAATAGATTTCTCATATTCCATTCGTCATCAATAACTAATGCTTTCAACTTGTTCATATGGTCATCACCATCCAATACAAAAATCTATAGATATATTACAACATAGCCGTTCTTCTTACTTTAATTTTCAAATATCATTAGCTCAATTGTTTTACATATTATATTTTGGAACTATGTGATTTCAATGAAGAAGACGTGATGGTCGGAAAAATTATTTTAAATCGCGTGCCCTCTCCAATTTTACTTTCTACCTGTATTGTTCCTCCTTGTTGTACTACAAGACTTTGAACAATAGACAGCCCAAGTCCAGTTCCTCCATATGCCCGAGATCTGGATTTCTCAACTCGGTAAAAGCGCTCAAATATATTCGGAAGTTCTTCTGCTGAAATTCCGGGTCCCGTATCGCAAATACTTATCGCCACCCCACCTGTTTCAGAACTTAAAGAAACTTGAATATACCCCTCAGCTGTGTAACGAATGGCATTATCCAACAGATTAAGAATGATCTGTTCCAGTCGGTTAGGGTCTACAAAAATATGAGGTACGGAACTCAGGTTACTTTGAATCGTAAGATCTTTCTCTTGGGCTTTTAATTGAACCTTATCTATAGACCTTTGGATAATCGAAG